AGATTCTTAGGAAAAAGTTAGGATAGCTTGCTAGATAGAAAACCTGCAAAAGGTAGTCTAGGCAAAAGTTAAGGCATTCATAAAAATGGGCAGAGCTCGCTAAGATATCCTAGGAAAAAATTAAGGCAACCCGCTAGATTGGAAACCCCAAAAGGGCAGTCTAGGCAAAAGTTAGGGCTAAACTAAAAGAAAGGGGCCCATATGAAAATCCAGCAGGAGAATGCCGGTTACTTATCTAGATGCATCAAATAAAAGGATAGATTGCACTTAGGACATTCACACACCAGTAGTCGCATAATACAACTCTGTCAAAATCAAAAAGAAAAAAATAAAAAATCTCTGTAAGTAAATAAACAAAAAAATAATACTCATGCATATAAGGAGACTAGCTCCATGTTTGTGATTAAAAACAGGGAGCGCTAAAAATAGGTCTCCAAATAATGCTCTCCCTCAAGAAAGCAGAGCAAGTTGCCACCAGTAATTAAGCGACTCATAGCAAAATAAGAGCTTCCTGAAGTTAAAGCTCCAACCATTATCCTTCTACCCAGAAAAGAAGGCACAAAGAAAATAATAAGTCTCCAAATATTGCTCTCCCTCAAGAAAGAAGAACGAGTTATCGTCATCAAATCACTAAGAAGAAATAAGAGTTTCTTGAATCAAAAGCCCCAACCATTCTCCTTCTACCCCAATCTGACGGAAAGGCGTGAATATCCCTAAGAGGATCCTTGCCTACTCCAAAGGCAAAACAAATACTACCCCATGGCTCAGCATCGCCATCACATGAGTCACCAAGCACACTCATACAAAATCTCCACCACATCCCCCAAGGAAAATAACGAGCTCAAAAGAAAACCCTTCATCCCCCAACGGATAACCCAAAGTGAAAAAAAGTCGTGGCTAAGGAAAGCCAAATAATTCCCCAAGTGGGTCATACAAAAAATAAAAAATAGAGCAAATCAAGGGACCAGAAATCTCATTCCTCTTCAGCAGAATAAGAGCTTTAAACCAGCTCCCATTATCAAAATCAACGAGTCCAACCTCCGTACCATTAAGTGCTCAACAAAAAAGAAAAAGAAGAAAACCCTGCATCCCCAGTAGATGTACAAAAGAAAGGGTCGCGATAGGGAAGACCGAATAAAAAAATCCCCAAGTGGATCTCCCCAGAAAATTCTATAAAAAGAAGGAATCAAAAATTCCTATCCCTCAGTAAAATAAGAGCTTCACAAGGACAGCTCGCAGCCAAGACTCCATTCCTAGAAAAGAAAACTCAAAATTAGATCCCTAGGAAATCGACTAATTCCCTGGTGGAGCACCAAAAAGAAAAAACCTCATCCCTTGTGGATGCCGAAAAAGAAGAAAAAAAAAAGAATGCGTGCATAAAAGAAATTAAAAAGTAAAAATGAACACACACTATCAAGAAAAATCCAAATTTCGAATTGCGATTAAAAGAGATAAATCGCGAAAAAAGGCAAAATTAAATAAAAATCTTAACTTTTAGGAAAACAGAATGCCCATTCCCTAATGAAATAAGAGCATCGCAAAGTCATCTCACACTAGCATCTAGCAAAGAGTCAAAACTCCATCCTCCAGGGGTAACCAAAATCAGATCCCTAGGAAGTCAACCAATTCCCTGATGGATCGCCAAAAGGAAAAGAACTTACCCCCACTGAGCCTACTGCAAAGGCAATCTTCAAATTCACATCCTTAGTGAAGTCGTTTGCCTATGCATAGGCAAGACTTGGCAAACAAGAGCCAACACCCCAAAAGGGAATATCAGCCTGTTCAGAGGCAAAACAATGCAGCCAAAAGTCTTCACTTTCGATGAAGCATCTGCCTACTCAGAGGCATTACCAAAACCTCAATGGAGTATCTACCTGCTTAGAGGCACCATCAAAATCAACAAATCCTCAATGGATATTCGCCTACTCAAGAGGCGTCACCAAGATCAACAAATCCCCAGTGGATTCCTGCCTACCTAAGAGGCATTCATCAAGAATCCCCAGAGACCAACAAGCTGGACGACTATTAGAAAAAGCCCAAGATCCAGAATCCCCAACAATCAACAAGCTGGATGGCTGTGGAAAAAGCCAAAACCAAGAATCCCCAACAATCGACAAGCTGGATGGCTATTGGAAAAGCCAAAAATAAAAAATGCCGACATACCGGAAGACTACATCACAAACAAAAGTCACTCCCCATGGATTCGGTGCATGAGCCAGAGCAGTAAGCCACCATCACGCATAACTTCGTGGCAAGGAAAGTCCCGAAGACAAAGACCTGCACATGAGCAAGATCAATGCACATTAACAAAACTAGTAAGTCACAACCACACCATTCCTACAAAGTGGACTATCAAACTAGATGGGGGTTCATACTCGCCAAACTAGATGAGGGTGCATACTCATCTAGTCCTATGAAGTGGACTGTCAAACTAGACAGGGGTTCGTACTCTCCAAACCAGATGAGGGTGCGTACTCATCCAGTCCTACGAAGTGGGCTGCAAGTTCTTCAAACCAGACAGGGGTTTGTACTCGCCAAACCAGATGAGGGTGCATACTCATCTAGTCCAATGAAGTGGGCTAGAAGTTCTTCAACAACCAGACGGGGGTTCGTACTCGTTAAACCAGATGGGGGTGCATACTCATTCAGCCTTACAAAAGGGGGCTTAAACCAGATTTTACAACCAAAGGGATCAGCTACTACATCAAAGGAGCATCCTAGAGGATCATATTCAGTGTCCAGAAGGTCAGCTACCACGACAAGGGAAGCAACCGAAGGACAATTGGGCAAGAGGGTCAACTGCTTCACCCTCCAGCCGATCTCTTGGCATATTGGGCCAACGGTACGCTAGTCAGGTGAAGGAAGGGTAGTTGTAGACCCCAAATCTTGCCTGACCTCACAATAAAGAGCAGAAGACTTTCGTTCAAAGATGGACAAGGCCTCGAAGGTCCCTAGACATGCTTACTAGGCTCCATGTTAGAATAGGAAAGCTTTCTGTACAAAAAATAAGAGAATTCTGCCCAGAAGCACGACATGGTCGTCCCATTTGGCCAGACAGTCATCTCGCCTTACAAGGTGAGACGACTGTCTTGTTTGGTGAGTTGGTCGTCTCGCCATTCGCTAATGGCGAGACTGCCATTTCGTTTGGCAAGATGGTCGTCTCGCCAATTATGAGACGAGACCGCCATCTCACCACTTGGCGAGACGGTCGTCCCGAATGGCGAGATGGTTGTCTCGACCTTTGTCAGGCGAGATGGTCGTCCTAGTCTGACAGACACGAATTTCTATAAATAGGACCTTCGTTCAAGGAGGAAGGGACACGAAAAAAAACCCAGAAATCATATAGCTCTTACTCCGATACTCTGTATACTTACTAGTCTTGCTCCAGAAGTCCAATTCTAGCTCGTTTAAGTAGTTTCGAGTAGTTTTCGATTCAAGAGAGGAATACATGTGTAGAGTGTGGAGTTTGCCAAAAAGCGCCCTTTACAAGAATATACATAAAATCTTGCTTCGGAGGTTTTTACATCCTTTACTCTCTTTTTCATCACTTTTATTGCTCTCTCTGTGCATTAGTTATTATGGCCATGTAGTCAATTATTTAAATTTCGCAATGAATAAATAAGGGTAAAAGCATAATTTTAATGTTCTTATTTTAACAATAAACAGTCCATCATAGGGATCCCGAAAGGGGCGTCGTGGGGAAGCTAATACCTTCCCCACACGTAACTAACTCCCCTACCTAACTCTGGTTGTAATGACCAAAGTTGGTTTTTCTTAAAACCACCACCTTCTTTTTTCCTTTTCCAATGTTTTTGGTTAAAATATTGGTGGCGACTCCAGGACCAATTTATCAAAACTTCACCCTTAGAATAGTTCGGTTATCGGACATCCTAAGGGTGATGACCACACTTTTAAAATTCAAGTCGAATAAAAAAAATCATCGTGTCGCTTCAATTGCCTCTTTTGACGGCGGAGACAACCTTTGCAGGTGTAGAAACATGGGTTAAGTTTGAATCAAAATTCATTCATAGATTCTCTCAAAGTTCAGCTCTTGAGTTCTTTAGTTTTTAGTAGTGATGCTTAGCTTCCAAGTTTGTTCATTGAGTTTCTTGTACAAATAATGCAATGAAGTTTATCAATTCAAGTTCTCCTTGATCAGATTTGTTTCTTTCTCTCTTTACTTCTTTGTTTTTACTTTTTGTTTCATCTTCTTCTCCATTTTCCATTCATTCCTCTACTATTTCTGGGTTTTCATTTGATAATCATGTTTTAATTCATTTTTGTTGTTGATTCATCGATTAAAACTTGTTTTCTATGGTTTATATTTGATTCTTAATAATTCTAATCGATTATAATACATTACAAACAATGTGAATGAGGTTATTTGATTTAATGTCTCTTTACATCACAATTCAACTTCTAGGTTTAAGTGATTGCTTGATTTAGGAATTAAGTTGTGAATACAAATTTAAATTGGGTTGTAAGTAATTGGAACTATTGTGGAATTGTTATTGTGATTGCATGACAATTGTATAAAAATCAATGATAATCATAAAATCAAGTTTATGATTGAAGAATCAACACAACTTCTTCACTATTTTTCATCAACTTTTACTTTTATTTTGTTTTACTTTCAAACTTAGTTTACAATATTCTTTGCATTTAAAGCTTTCTTAGATCATATTTAAAAGCTTTCTTTAATTCTTTCATTTAACATGCTTTCTGTAATTGCTTTCATAGCATAGATTTATTGTTTTCAATTTAATTTTTGCATTAAAAATCCAAAAATCTCCTTATCTCCAAGCTTTTGATATAGAAAATTAAGATTTGAAATAAGACCAAACAATTCTCCTCAGGATTCGACCTAGGCCAAACCCTAGTACTGTATTACTTTAATTGCAAATTTTTTAATGAAATCTAGGAGACAAGATTAACTTCATGAATGACTAGGTTTAAGGCACAAGACTTGTATTCCCTAGACCCCAAAATTGAAAAGACACTTAGGAGGCCATGAAGCATCTTGTGGAAGATCACTCCATCCTCTATGATCACCAAGTTCATATGTGTAATGTTGTGTAACCAAGAGAGGGTGTTGATAAGTAAGTAGGATTAGATGTCGGAACAATTTTGATTTTGTTTTTAACTGTGATTTTGACTTAGGATTTTTCGAGTTTTTAGACTTTTTTGAGAGGAACACTAAACAATTCATAGAGTGTACTTGCACCAAGGATGTTTTTAATGCTTGTAAAGAGATACTTACTTCCATAACCCTTATATCTAACTTTTTTGCAGCAAGTGAAGCTGAGATTGATGTACACACTGCCACCAATGCAAGTTTAGCATAAATTATCAATAAAGGAGATTAAACCTCTACTTCACAACTTGAAGTATGCTTATTTGGATGAAAAGCAAAGGTTTCTCGTGGTTATAGACCCCAAATCTTGCCCGGCCATACAACAAGATCAGAAATCCTCCATTTTGAAGATGGACAAGGCTTCATAGGGCCCCTAGTAGTGTTCACTAGGCTCCATTTAAGAAAAGGAGGGTTTTTCTTAGAAAATTAAAATTAAAAATTTTGTCAGAGGAGCCGAGATGGTCGTCCCAAATTCTAGACAGTCGTCCCACTTGTTTGGCTAGCTTGAGACGGTCATCCCACCTTCCTTAGTGGTCAGGGACGGCTGTCCCAAATTCCAAAGAATCGTCTCACCCTCTTTGGTAGCTTGGGACGGCCGTCCCAAATTCCCAGATGGTCGTCTTGACTAACGAAATTCAGGACGGCCGTCCTGGCCTCTTGGGTGAGTGAGCCATAAATAGGAAACCATTTCTCCTATTTTCAAACACCTTCTCACACTCTCTCATATTTTGAGACACTTCTGGGCCTTTTTGCACTGTTCCAAAGGTTTGAGTAGTCCTTTTGATAGTCCATTTGGGTAAAATCGGTTAAGGAAGTCTCCTTTTGAGACATCCAGCTCGCAAGAGTTTTATAATTTTATTGTTTGAGGGAGAAGCGTTCTTGTAGAGCGAGGGGACTGCCAAAAAATGTCGTCAAGTTTGAAGATTTATAGAAAGCTCATTTCGGAGGTTCTTTTTGATTCCTTCTCTTTTATCACTTTCCTTTTATTGCTTTCCTTTATGTGTATTAGAAATTAGGGCCATGTAGATATTTAAATACTGCAAGTAAATAAATAGGGTAAAGGCATAATTTCAAGAATATTTTTTTTGAATTAATCCGTCATAGGAACCCGAAAGGGGCGTTGTGGGGTGCTAACACCTTCCCCACGCGTAACTAACTCCCTTACCCAACTCTGGTTATAATGGCTAAAGTTGGTTTTTTTCTAAACCAACGCCTTTTATTTTTCTTTTTTCAATGTTTATGGTTAAAACATTGGTGGAGACTCCATAAGAACCCCTTTTACAAAAACCTCACTCTTAAGGGTTGTTCAGTTATCGAGCATCCTAAGAGTAATGACCACATTTTAGAAAATGGGAGTCACAAAACCATCGCGTTGCGACCGCTCGCATATATCGTTTCCCCGTGCCAGCGGCGACAAATGGCGATTTCACTAGGGAAGCCTAGAGAGTTGATCTCGTTTAGTGATGAATTAATTCAAAATAAAATAAAAGAATTGAAATTATGCCTTTACCCTTCTTTGTTTGTATAACATGTTTTATCTGAATGGCTTTAATAATTGTTGTATGTTTATTTTTCGCAATTGTTTAAAATACAAATTGTACACAAACATTTGCATACAACAGTCCCTCTATACCCGGGGGCATGAGAGATAAACCTTAGGGAGTGGGTGGCATGTAAGGCAGACCGTGGTAATGGCCTTAATGCCAGTAGGTTGTTGTCGGAAACCACCACTCAAGGTGATAACCCTCCTCTCTTAGTCTGCAGGACGTTGATACAACCTTGAGCCACGCAAGGTTTGAGGGTTGAGAGATCATGGGAACCCTATAATGGGGGCACCTTGGGTACCTGACCTTTGTGAGAGTAGTTAGAACCTACCTTGACAATGGACTTTTCTGCAGGATACCCCTACCTCGTGATTAAACGTCGTTGCTCTATTCATAGATGAGTGAATTGTTTGTGCATATGTTTATTGCATTTGTTTGTTGCATTAACATAAAAACGATCATACAATATCCAAAATAATAAATATTCTTAAAACATAAAATATAAAAAATAATAATAAGAGATGTCTAACCTACTCTACCAGACCTAGCATCTCAAAATCCTACTTAAAACTTTTCCATTATAACAAACTTTATCTCGGATAGTCTTCATTTAAGCTAGCCTGGTTCAGGTTCTTTGAAAGCTAAGTAGCCACATTGACTAACAAAAGAGATAAGAAGTTATAAAAACAAACAAAAAAACTTTTTTTTGCTATAACCAACTTTATCTCGAACAGTCTTCATTTAAGCTAGCCTGGTTTCAGGTTCTTTGAAAGCTAAGTAGCCACATTGACCAACAGAAGAGATAAGGAGTTATAAAAACAAAACAAAGCAAAACAAAAAACGAACAAAAAACAGTAATAACAAAATTTGATAAAACGATTTTGACAAGGTCGAATCATTCATACCCTCATCATTTCAGGAGTGGTAAAAATAAGAGAGAAAATAAATGCATAAAGAAAGTATGCATACACATCATCCTAATAAAGTCTCTCATGCAAAACTACATTCATTCTAGGGGGCACTAGATATCCTTATACAAAGGAAAAAGAGGCCCATGTGCGTTTGTAATCTTCATACTTGTCAATCTATGACAAGGAAGTGACAAGTGTGCTAAGGCGTGGTAACCTTTGTTATACTTGTCAATCCATGATGGGGAAGGAACCATTACACCAAAGTGGGTGTGGTTTTCTGTGAAGCATAAGCTTTGGGGAGGAAACCAAAGCCATTGTCTTAAGGCATATGCATCCCATACTAATTATTAAAAATAATAAATAAAAACCCTAATTCATTTGCATTCTAGAAAGTGGTTGGTCTTCTTCCTGTCCTCACCCGCGCGCAAAAAGCCAAGAGGATGGAGAAATTGGAAGATCAAAATTGTGAGCTCACCACTAAGCTAATGCATGAAAGATCAAATAGCACGGTTAATGGAGCACTTAGAAGAACAAAACCGCAAGCTCACTGCTGAGCTTAATTCCGTGAAGGAGTAGATGGCGCAATTAATGGAACTAATGTGCTATCAACATATCCACAATAAGGTCCCCCACAATGACCATATCGGCGAAAGAGTGGGGCAAGGACTGAAGAGTGAGAGGATTGCGCAGCCTTCCTCACCCAATACATCATTCAAGAAGCCCTTTGGCAAGAAGGAGGGAAGCATAAATGTCATCAACCTTACTACTTCTTCTTCCCTTTCGCGACCAACTAAGCAGTCATGCAAACAAGAGAGGAAATTTACTCTCCTTCCAACCTCCTATGGAAGTCTGCTGCCAAAGTTGGTAGAAGCCAGACTCCTAGCACGTGTTCCTCTGAGAAAGATGGAGCCACCCTACCCGAATTGGTACAAGCCAAGTGAAAAATGTGATTACCATTCGGGCGCTCCTGGGCATTCTGTGGAGAACTACTTGACCTTGAAATATAAGGTTCAAGAATTGTTGAATGTCGGGTGAATAACTTTCGACGCTCCCGCTCCTAATGTTAATTTCAAGTCTCTATCACAACCAGAATAGTGGGGTTAGGATAGAGAAGACCAGCTGACTAGGGCTCTTCATGTTTTTTTAAGCTTCCAGTGTATCTCTTGCGGTCCCTACCTGTGGCTGCGAGATCCTTGATTAAAAAGACTGAAAGAATTAATGGTTGAGTTCAAGAGGGGGGGTGAATTGAACTTTAAAACTTTTTCGCAAAACTTACTTTCTTTTGGAAGAATGAGTTATCTTTATTCAATTTTTGCAAAGGTAATTTGGTTTAAACACAGCAAGTTTATAGACAGAAAATAAAAGAGATGAAAGAAGAAATTTAACACACAAATTTATACTGGTTCACTCTAATCCAGAGCTACATCCAGTTCTTGACAAACCTGTCAAGTTCCACTAATTCCAAGTGAAAATTACAACCAGTAGATACTCACCAATCTACCCCAAGAACTATCTTGCAAACCCACAAGATAGAATCTTGAAAACCACCCAGTAACCAAATCCAGTTACTGTACCAAGTGCAGATCACAATCCAACCTGCACAATCACACTTTTACAAAAGAGTATGGAAAGAAAAAACCTGGACTTGAAGTTCTAATTGTCCAGAACAAATTCTAACAGCACTTTCTCTCTTTGATTGACCACAATTCTGATCACAGCACCTTATGATATGAAAAGATTCTTGAATGCAGAGAAAGTCACGTATATGAAAGTTTCACAGATTGATTTCACAAGTTTTCTCAAGTAGTGTGTTGTATTCTTTTTCAAAAGATAGATCAATTCTGTATATATAGAGTAAAACATAGAATCAGAATGTTTCATCTGTCAAAAACTGTTTCAGAGAGTCAAAAGATCGATTAGTTTGAGAGTATAATAGTTTAGAAGAGACTCTGATCGATTAGAACTAAAGTATGATCGATCAGACCGAGTTATGATCGATCAGAATGAAACTATGATCGATCAGAATACATTTCAATCGATTAAAACATCGATTCAATCGATTGATTTCATTTAAAGCTCCATTCAATCGATTGATTCGAGTTTTTAATGGATTGAAACAGCTTTATGAAAAATGACAGCTTTCTGTTTCAATCGATTGAAAATTATTTCAACAGATTGAAATCCTGCAAACACTTAGTTAATAAAATAGACTCTCTGTTTTAACAGATTAAAAATTATTTCAACAGATTGATTTTCTGAAAAACTCTTAGACTGAAAAAATAGTCTTTCTGTTTCAACAGATTAAAATTCATTTCAACAGATTGATTTTCTGAAAAACTCTTAGACTGAAAAAATAGTCTTTCTGTTTCAACAGATTAAAATTCATTTCAACAGATTGAAAATGCGAAACTTTGATATTGAAAAATTCATTGAGTTATTTTAACTTGTTGATTCCGCGAATCAATCAATTGAAAATACGACTATGTATGACCACTTATTATGTTGAGTGATTTTAACAAATTGAAAATCCTTTTCAACAGATTGAAAAACTTAGTTTGTTCTTTTAATACTTAATTGTTAGTTTTTCATGCAGAAAAATGATTTTCAATGGGATGCAACATTATAAGGCGCTTATCACAAAATATAATGGACTATCAAGAGATTAAGTGCTTAAACT